GTGTGTGTGTGTGTGCGTGTGCGCGCGCGCGCGCGCGCGCCTTGCGGGGGTGAAACGGTCCTCGAGGGCCAGCGTGGGTGGCGGCCAGCTCGACCCCTTCCCCGGCCCCTCCTCCGCGCCGGAGCTCAGGTGCCCAGAGAGGCAGGAGGCGGCCGGTGTCCGGTGTCGGTGTCCGGTGTCTGCAGCCGCGTGCTGGGTGTTGGGCGGGCGGCCCCGGCGTGCTCCGGGGAAGTTTGCGATCCGGGCGGGGTGCGTGCGCCCTAGGACTGTGCACGCCCAAGGCGTTTGCTCACGCGGGGCCGTAACCCCGCAGCCCACGTGGCCGCCAGGGAGGGTCGGAGCAGTCGGGTTTCCAGACTGGAGCAGTAAGTCAGCGTCCGGCTGCGCACTGCCCGGCTGTCGCAGCCTTCTGTCCTGGTGCGCGGGGCCATTCGCGACCCACAACCCTCACCGATTCCAGCAGGTGGACGGCAGACAGAACCCGCACACTCACGGGGTAAGGCCCCATGGACCTGCTACGGGGAGATCACAGGAGCCGGCTTCAGCCCGCGCTGCAGCTCTGGGGTGCCTTCTCTTTGAAAGCACCCAGGGGCGCCCCCATGTGGGACCTGGCCGCGGTGGGCAGGGTGGGCGCGGTGAGTGCGTCGGTGCCCAGTGCTGGGTAGTGGACCTAGTTGAAGACTGATCCAGAAAGGCCCCCAGCCAGTTGGGCGCTGCCAACTGAGCACCCTTGACCCCTCTCTACCTCGCCTACCCTTAGGTTCCTGGGCACCCTAAGGCGTCACGTTTGCATGTTTGCTGAGTGATGATCTCCCTTCTCAAGGGTCTCACAGAAGGAAGGTGGCTGCTGCTTCCCAAGCAGCTTCTCCGCCCACCAGAAGGCATTGATTTGACTCCTTGATACAAGTTTTTAATTGAATAAATAAGTGGAAAGCGTAGTTGGGCATAGATTGGCACAAACGTGGAAGTTTCTAGGTAAATCCACAGGTGCGGTAATTTCACAGTTCTGAAGAATGATCCGTGTTTGCAGAATTTATCAAATAGCAGTCCTCCTTAATTTATTTTATCCTCAAAACAGCCCTTCTGCACAGAGCTGGCCGGGGTAAAAGAATCACAATTCCAACTATATTATTAACTTTAAAGACATATTAGACTATATATATATATATATATATATATATATATATATATATAATTTGTCTTTTTGAGATAGGCTCCAGCTGTGAGGCTGCCCTGAGCTTGCTCTGTGGCTCAGGCTGGTCTTAAACGCAACAGTCCTCTTACCTCAGCTTTCCACATGCTGGGATTAAACTTGTGCACCACCATGCCCAGCTATGATTTAGACGAAATCTAAAATCTTTTTATTCTTTAGGTTTCAGAATTATTAAAAGTACCACCCTGTTGTAGAACAGTGCCTATGGAAGGTGTGAAATCTGGCCAAACATATGGGTATTGTGGAAAATTTAACTGACTCTATGGCCCTTTAGAAATTTTTTTTTTTTTTTTTTTTTTTTTTTTTTTTTTTTTTTTTTTTGGTGGAACTGGGGATTGAACTCAGGCCCTTTAGAAGTTGGTTTTTGGATACTTACCTGGCAGGGGAGATACCATTATCACAAAGAAATTGATTTTTTTGGGTAAATAGCAGGTGTGGGCTTGTTGCTTGTCATTTCTGTCTTTTCAGAAAAAGAATTGTAGAAGAAAACTGAGTTAGCTTAGCTTTTTTTAACTGGCTCTAGAATAACTGGAAGTTTGCTGCACTTAGTGAATTAGAATGAGGGGAAGTCATTGGAGTGTGAATCAGTGTTGGCTGTGATTGTTCAGTTAGGGAGGGAAAGTGGGAAAAACCCTGGCAAATTTCCTCATTCCTCTTTCCTGTACCCTGGCTTTACTTGTCTTTATAACTTTATATTATATCACACTAGCCACAGATTATGTGGATTCTCAGGCTGAAGTGGATCTACATTGACAGATGGGGAGACAGGCCTCAGTTGTGAAGTGACAGTCCGAAGGCACACAGCTCGTGGGAGCCCAGGCTGGAGTCCTGAGTGTTAGTTGTCCGGTGGCCACATTGTTCTGGGCTGGAGTTTGCTGTGGAGAAACTGTGGGGTGAAGGGAGAGTTCGTTCACACCAGCTTTCAGCCAGGAGTGGCGTGTATATCCAACAGCCCGGCCACAGACGGTTGTCAGCTGGGTTGCCTGGGTATCACCCAAGGACAGAAAGAAGCCAGTGTCTTTTCTTCGACACTGATTAGTTAGTTTTAACTCTAGAAGGCCACGTTTGCCACAAAAGGCAAAATAAAACAAAATACAAATTGAAAGGGAGTGGGCATTTTGTCCCAGAGGTGCCAGGGAGCTCTCCCTACAGAGTTTTACCCTTTGTTCTGTTCCAGGTGGCTGGAAGGAAGGGGACACTGGTGGCATAAGTGCACCACTTGCATAAACATCTACACCAGGGCCCCTGTGGCCCTCAGTGCCCTGCTGTCCTTCCCGGAGGGGTGTTTTCCATTCTTGGAAGCTTCCCTGTGGTTGCCCGGATGAGGCTGTTGCCCCTGAGAGGCACCTGGATCAAGCGCCTTCCATTCCGCAGTCCCTTTGCCCTGGGATTTACTTCTCTTCCTGCTGACAGTCCACGCAGGACACTGCAATGTGATGTTGTACTGAATCTGGGGCAGATTAGCCAGAAAGGCGTCTGGGCTGAGGGCTGCAGTGACACAGATGTGGAGCGAAGTGGCCACCTCTGCCGCATTGCAGCTGCCGACCCTCTAGGCAGTCCCTGTCTTCCGCCTCTGTGAACATGGACTGGACTCCAGTGCAGCTTGGAGGACAAAGTGAGTTAAGGCATGTGAAGTGCTCCAGGGTGTGCCTGGTGCAGGAAGCATTGGCCCTGTCATGGGGGAGGGGAACAGTTGACTTTGGCCCCTGAGGCATGCCCCCCCCCATAGGATTCACCCCATTCGAGGTGGGGAACAGAGAAACAGCCTCATACCTCACTGGTCCCTCCTTCTCCCTCTGCTGTGTTCCTGTGGGAGTCCCCCTTGCAGTCATGGAATGTACCCACCTGGGAATGTTTCCCGGAATGCAGAGGAGTCACTCACTTTGGTTAAAACCAATAAGTCAAGAAATTAGCAAACATCACTTCTGTGCTGTGAAGGGCTCCTCTCAAAGCACATATGCCAATGTTAGCAATGGCACCCAGGAGAGGCCTGGTACTGAGTTAGAGCCAGCAACCCTGCTTTTATTTATTTTAAAATGTTCTCTGACTATTTTGTTCCATTTGAGTTCTGGTAGCCAAATGCTAGGGGAGAGTACAGGGTGCAGGAAGTGGTTGGGTCTATGAATGATCAGACATTCTGGTTCCTGCCCACGGAGCATGCTCATCTGCAGAAATTATAAGGAGCAACTGTGCAAGAAAGAGGAGGAGGAAAAGAGGCTCCCGGGCACTGATGAGGACATTGAAAGTCCAGCTGTATGATTAAGTGAAAGAAATAAGACGTGAACCAGCAAGATAGGTCAGCAGGCTAAAACCCTGCTTAGGCAAGCTTAGTACCCGGGGTTCGAATCCCAGTCCCACATGCTGCGCTAGCCCCGTCCCAGGGGCGAGCTGAGCCAGCAGTGACTGAGTCCAGACATGGTGGCGCCCACCTGTAATCCTAGTGAGGGGAAGCTGAAAACAGGAGGATCACGACAAGTCTGAGATGCATAGTAAGACCCTGTACCAAATACATAATTAGAAAAAAAAAAAAAAAAGAAAGAAAGAAAGAAAGAAAGAAGAAAAACCACAGCCTTGGCAGCCATGATATGTCTGAGTACCAAGTCAATCTAATGTGTAAGAATGTTTGAATTTAGCATAGAGAGACAAGATGTTTGGGAGGGTGCACCCCTAGGTGGGGAGGTGATTGAGGCATTGTAAATGCCAAATTAGCAGTTAATTTATTAGACCCTAGATGGTGTTGAATGAGTAAGACTTCTGCATGTCCTGTGACGTTAAAATTAATTAAATATGTTTTTTTCCTAGAATGGAAATATAAACATACTTTCTTTCCTGTGATACAAGAATGAAGATTTTTTTTTAAAAAAAATCAAACTAAGTAGAAATGTGTGAAGTGGAATGAGACCTAGTGCTTCCCTACCTTATTTCTCCCTCTACCTCTGAAACTACCATGTGTACCCCACCCCACATGCTGCGCCAGGGAACTTCTTAGGGGAACTTTCTAGTAAACTTTCACAAAATAAAATCCCTTTGTTATGAACCTTGTGACCTCTTCTCTCAATATATCTGATCTTTAAATTTAGATTTTATTCAATTAGGTTATCTGGAAAGGTATACCTACAACCTGGTGCCCTTCGAGAGCACATGAACATTCTCTTCTGCACCAGTTTTAGTAGCCTGCCTGGAAATTACAGTGTCTTTCGGTGGAGTTGCAAGCTCACAATTGCATCTTCGGAGCACTACTTTTAAAGGAAATGCAAAAAGTTGCATGGTGGCCTGAGTTTTATTTCTGTTTTTAACCTTCCTTGAGCACAGCTTTGTTTTGATTTGGCTTGGGGTAAGTGCCAGTGTGAAATGTCACAGATAGTATTTTTCTTTGAAATAGGTTGCTTGAAGAGAGCCTTTTAATTTTTTCCTGTGACTTGTTTTGGTCATTTTTTTTTTTTCAGCTGTGTAGTTGGTGGTTTCATGGGCTCTGAGGTAATAATGTGTTTGTTTAGTCGGGAGAAGGCCAATCCTCTGTTTAATTTTTTTTCCCTGAGATTGACCCGTATAAAGTTAAGATTTGTTCTGTATTTTTGATAAAGTATCTTAGGAAATTATGGGATAGAGGTTACACAAACTCTTAACAAAGTGTACCTCAGCTTTTCTTCTTTCCCCCTGAAATGAAAAATGATAGTGTATTTCCTGCAGCCTTATGTAGAAGCCCATCTCTGCCCAGCGCCTGTGCAGTTTAATGCTGACTGATTTGGGCTGTTGCTCTTTGCAGGCTCCTTGCGCGGTGGCAGCAAGTGCTTCGTGCCAGCTCCCAGGAGTCAGTTTGCAGAATTCCTGTCCCAGAGCCAGTCGGGATTGCGGGGCTGTGAGTCTGTCTCCGAGGAGGTCCCTGGAGGCGCCCAAGTGCCTGTCTGGGTGGAGCACACCTGCAAGCCACTTTCAGGAACTTCTGCCACAGGTGTAAGTCCCTCACCCTGCTGAGATGCTGAGACAGATACTGTCGGAGATGTACATAGATCCTGAGCTGCTGGCGGAGCTCAGCGAGGAGCAGAAACAGATCCTGTTCTTCAAGATGAGGGAGGAACAGATCCGGCGGTGGAAAGAAAGAGAAGCAGCCATGGAAAGAAAGGAGTCCTTGCCAGTGAAATCCAGACCGAAGAAAGGTAAGCCTAGCCTCTCCTCTGCTGTGTTAGCAGGGGGGCGCCTGGCTTGTAATAGCTCGCACCACCCACAGCTAGCCTGGCGTGAGTTACAATTCAGTGGGTGGTTCCTAAATGTTATTTTGGTAAAGTCATTTGTTGATTAACTTGAAGTCCGTGTGTGCAGGCGAGCGCAGAACTTAGTGTGGAGTTTTACAGCCATGTGCAGATCTGTTACTTGAAATCAGACTGACCTTCAACTGCAATCAGAAGTCACCTCTTGGAGCTGGGGCTATAGTGCAGTAGCAGAGCGCTTGGTTAGCATGTACGAGGCCCTAGGTTTTATTCCCACTCTCCACTGGGTTTTGGTCTGAGGGTTCTAAATTAGGAAAGGTCTCTCCCTACCTCCTGACTGCTTTAGATACCTAGATTTCGACTTCCACTTTCAAAGTATTTATATCAACATCTTTACGGTCATTGTATTTGCATTTCTTAGGCCACAAGAGATTTTAGTTTGAGTTATCCATTTTAGAGAAGACCCCCTTCTTAAGCTGTAAAGAACTACTCTAAGGGAAACCTTCATACTATTATTTTTTTTAGCAGGACTAAATTTTTCAGATGTACTCCCTTGTAACTGAAGGAAGCCCTGTAGTTTCAGAGGATTCCTTTGAGGCATGAGGGAAGAATTCTTCACGCATGAAGATTTAAAGTATACGTTCACTGACACTGAAAGCACTCACCAACTCCAGCCCCCTTGTTCTCTCCCCATCCCACGCCACACACACATTCTCTTGTGGGTTTACCAGCTATGTTATTCAAAACTGAGCTGCTCTCCTGTGATAACATAAGATAATTTCAGTTTCCTTGCTTAAATTTTTCCCTTGTAGAATTTTCCATGGTTGGTGACAGAGGCATTGAAGACCAATTTCTTCTTCCTTTTAATTAAAAGTAAAATTTTATAAAAATCACTTAGGGTTTCAGAGACTGAGAAAATCATTCTTACCCGCATGTATACACACCCAGGTTCAAAACAAAAGTCAGCTTAGTCACCTTACCCTGTCTTTCACTCAGTTTTTGTTTTTCAATGAAACCTTCATACTGAGAAGAGAATATAGATGAATATCTCATTTGTTGTTATATTATAATATAAAGTGAATGATATCATCACAGCTTCTGCTAATGTTTCAGACACTAAGCGAAGCACTTTACATGTATTAGTCTTTACACAGTTGCTACAAAGTTGATATTTATGGTATTGATTATTCACACTGCTAGATGAGGAAGCCTGGCCCCAGGGAAGACATCAATATGTTGCAGGTTACACCACCAGGTCATGCCCAGGTCTGCCTGTTTTCATAGTGCGCTCTCCAAAACAGAATTTTCCTTCAGTAAGTTATTAGGTCAACCTAAGTGGGACTGTTTTATCTTTTCAAGCTGCTTTATGCATCCCCTTGGATGCCTTAGTTAGAGCTTAGTGTATATAGCTTGACACACTCCCCCCCACCTCACCATGTTCATCATGGATGTAATATGTGGGTGTGGTGGGGTGACCTTGGGGGCAGGGAGAGCTGAAGACTCTTGCTCCGAAAATCAGTGGCCATTACCCTTTCTTAGACTGCAGGCTTCTTGTGTAGGAAGAGTTGTTTTCCTTGTGATTATTTATGGTAATTTCAGTTTCCTAGTTTGTGTTTCCCTTGCTGAATTTTGAGTCTACCTCTCAGAAAGGCTGTGTTATTCTTACAGGGAAATGAGAATGCAAAGTATGCTAATATACACAATGACAGTTACATCACTTATTTGGGGTCAAAAGTTTATTACTCCCTTAACTCTTGTTAACACTTGGAAAAATGCAGTTTGCATTCAACCAATTCTGCTTCTCAGGACAGAACCAGAAAAGATTTCTCCCATTTCCCTGAAAAACAATGCACTTCTCTGTGCTTCCGTCTTTCTCTGGCTTTGAAGTAAAGCCTCAGATGCCCCAAGATGGTGTCACCCTGACGGGTGCTGTCTGGAGGTGCCCTCTGAGTTAGGGACCTCCGAAGCTTTGGATGCCGAAGTCTCCCTGTGTGCGTTTCCTCCTTTCACATAGGAGTTCTCTGCAGGCCCATTCCTGCCCTGGTCCCTGGCTTGTACGAGACCCAGCTGAATTCTGTTTTCTTAGCAGTGTGTCGCCAGGTTATGGCTTTGAAGGTTTCGTTTTCACTACCTGCAGCACGCACCCATCCCCCATTTCTTAACCCTTCTCAGTTTATCACTTAGAAGGCCTTTCCTTGTCATCTGGTCTTTTATTCTTCCCTCTATAGATCTTTAGGCCACTGTGGTGAAATCAGCTAGCATCTCTGCAGTGTTTGTGTACTGCGTACCCTAGGAACATGGCTATCCTAGAAATCAGGCTCGTGTAGGAGGGGCTGGAAAACAATCAGGAGTATGGATTTAGCCAGTCATCGAGGGGCTCCCTTGTGATTCTACAGCTGGAAAATGTGATTCTTACAGCAGGGGAGTGCAGAGCTCCTACAGTTGATGCAGTATAGCTAGAGGGGCCAGGTTGGCTGCCTGGCGCTGTGGCAATGTGGCTGCTGAGCTGGTGGCATGACTCTGAGCGGAGGGCTGCCAGATGTGCAGACGGCTGGACTTCAAAGGCTCAGGAGCAAAGTAAAAATCCCACACTCATAATGGTACATTCACTATGTATTGAAATGATAATATTTGGTATGTCTTGGGTAAAACAAAATCTATTATTAAAATTAATGTCATTCGTTCCTTCGTTTTTTATTGTGGCTATCGGGAAAGTTATAATTCTGGGTGTGGCTTATGTTTGGATAATCGGCTCTGGAGTATACTGGTTGCTCCAGCTCGTGTTTATTAAGCTGTGTCAGACCCTTAGCCGAGTGCTTTTACTATGTTATCTCATTAAATAATAACAGGCAAGCCTGAAACATGACTTAGTATTTACATTTAATAAAAAAGAAAAGTGACGCACAGGGCCTTTGGCTCACTTGCTCAGGGCACAGAAGGGCTAAGTGAGCTCAAACACAGCCTGAGTCCGGCTCCTTGGATCTGGCACTCTGAGCAGCACAGTACATGTCATGCTTAACTGGGGCTTGACAAGTTACTATTGTCCGCAGGTGCCCAGCTCTAATCTAAAATATAAGCTTGCACCGGGGACCTTCCATGGAGTCTTTTCCTTGGGCGTCTTTATTGGGTAATGCAAACAGAAAGCAAAGGCACTGATGGAAATCAGCTTCCCAGCGCTGATTTCAGGGGTCTCCAGTGAATGAATGAGATCTAATGGGACAAGTTGGCCTCTGGTGCTCATGCTGGGTGCAGGAAGGGCTGTGTTGGGCACCCATGAGACAGATGCAGACTTCGGAACCTTCATTTGCTGAATTCTCATAGTCACCAAAAGCACATTCCTTTATGCAAAGTCTTCCCTTCTCATGAAACACCACAAAACAACGGTGAAGCCATTGGTTTGTGCCACACCAGCAGTGTCTTCATCCTCCCTCCGCCCATCCCTCCCTCCCTCTCTCGCCACACCAGCAGTGTCTTCATCCTCCCTCCGCCCATCCCTCCCTCCCTCTCTCGTCTCTTGGAGCCTGGGCTTTCAGTGAGCTCGGCAGCATCCCCAGCTCCTAGACTGAGTGCTGGGCCTCTTCTCTCTGCAGCTGCTTCTGACTCTACTAAGACATTTCTCAGCTTCTCCTTTGGTCTTCCTCATGGGTCTCTTCTTCCCCTTTCTTTTTTATCTCTGACTAAAGTTCTGTGTTCCACAGGAGGTGACTCCCTCTATATTGGTGGTTGGTAACTTGCCCATGGGATTTGGGTGTGGAGTTGCTCATAGATTCTTTTGAAACCTGAGGGAAAACTTGGACCTAGGAAGATGCATGCAGACCACATTTCACAATATTCACAGATGTTAATGCTCATCCCAGACTTCCGAGGTTCCATAGCCTCCAGTGAAGGTGAAGAGTCTGTGTTATCTCCCTGGGGCAACTCTTAGGCATCCAAAGGTTAAACATCACCTGTAAGCCAGTGACTCAAACCCATGTTGCCAACTACGGCCTCACACCTAAGCTTTGGTCTTGCTGTCAGTTACCTGGTGAGCATCTCTGCTCAGATGGTCCATAAACCTTGCCAGCCTGATGCCAAAAGAGATTCTCCAGGACCATCCTTCTGTTCACTGCCACCCTTTGGTCTTGCTTTGCATGCTGTCATGATGGGGAGCCCTGAACCCAGCAACCCAGGAGCCACTCTGGTTAGCCCTGACTCTCACCAATTCACCTAGCCACTAAGCCGTGTAGACAGAATTTCTTCTGATCCATTCCCTAGAGCTTTCCTTCTACCAAGGAGTTGGTCTGTTAGCATGTCCTAGGAATAACCATTGCATTTATGTTACTTTATTTCCTCTTCAGCAGAATCTGGTAAGGTAAGTATTATTCCCTTTATTCCTACAAATGAGAAACAAGCTTGCCTGGTGTGGTGGCTATGCTATAATCCCTGCACTCTGGAAGGCTGTGGTACACGGATTGATCCCAGCCCTAATGGCAACTCAATGACTTAGTAAGAGCTTGTCTCAAAATTTAAAAGAGCGTGTGGAGGAGCTCAGTACATAGGCCCTGGGATCAACCTTCCATCCAGTACTAGAGGAAAACAAAAGACTTTAGATACAATTTTATGAATCAATGTTGGAAGAAGGATTTGAACTGAGGTCAAGCTCCCTGCAGAGTCTGTTCTGCATTGGACCTAATCTCTCTCCTCCTGCTTTAGTGTCTGTCTCAGGACTCTATCATTTCTGGGTAATAACTGAGCTTGTCACCTTCTGTCCCCAAGCCCCATGGATTCAGCTGGTGCCTCCCTCAGCTCTAGAGCTTCTTTCTACTAGTCGGATTGACAGCCTCACTTATCTGGCCTGCCGCTGGCTTCCCAGAACTGGATCACCATGTCCCTTCCTCATCTTCCTTTTGTCTCTCAAATAAGCATAAAAATTACCTAAATTTTTTACAGGTTGACTTTGGTGTTAATAA